TTTATTTTATGTATTTATTTCTATGTGGTGCTGAGACTAGAACCCAGTGCCTCACGCATGCTAGTCAAGTGCTCTATCACTCAACTACAACCCCAGCCCTATGTAGCCATTTCCAAGCTCCTCTCAGGGCCTTGGAAGGGGTTAATGCAAGTGAAAGGACCAATACTTAAGTAGTCTGTGACCTAGTTGGGAGAGAGAGGTCCAATTTTTATTATTTTTTGGTACAAATAACAAATCTCCTCAGAACATTTATTGAAAAACCCATTCTTTCCTCTTTAGATCTGCAACGACAATTGCCATATATTGTTTCCACATAACTGCAAACTCACACTCATGTGTATCCACTGAATGTACTGTTCTGGATTTCCTTCATTTGTTGATGCATGCACGTGCACAAGTGCACACACGCACACACCTTTAATGGACTTGGTTTCCTACTTTTTGAACTGAATGTGTGTCTTTTGTATGGAGTCCTGCAAATTGTATAGCTAGTATGTGATGCCTTTGTTAAACTTGCTGATTACTTTAATGATTTCCTTTACTTTCTATAAGCCCAATAATCCTAGAAAAACAAGCTTAATGATAAATCTAGTTGTCTTGCAGGAAGAAGGCCTCCCAGAAGATGTAGTATTCCAGACTATTAGAAGCACATGTCTCTCTCCTAAGAGTTTTAGATTTTCATTTTGGAAATACCTGGTGAGTTTTAGAAGTCATTTATTCTTAGTTTTATATTTTTGAAATATTTTTTTAAATTTCTAAATTTATTAAATACCACATATTATATTGTGGATAATTCCAATATCTAAAATCTTTGTAATTTGATTGTATTTATTGTTTATGATTATTCACAAGGTTCTGCTTTCTCACCACATTAGTGATTTTTTTTAAAATCGTGAACATGTTCCTTGAGGCTGCATCAGTTGGAATTCTTTGAAGCCTCACTTACAAGGAGTTTTTGTTATTTATCCTTCCTGGAGATGATATGGATTTGGTTCTGCCAGCTGTGTGGGAACACTTTTAATCCAAGACCACTTAAAAATTAATTTTGGCTTGAGGTTTTTAATCAAACAAAAGTGTAAATTTGGGTCAGAAACTGTTTTTAAAAAAATTATTTGAAACTTATAGTCATGCATAGTAGTTGGGTTCATTTTGACAAAATCATACATGTAAGGAATTCAATTTCAATCCCCATTTTTCTCCACCTTTTCAATCCCCATTTTTCTCCACCCTGTTCCTTCCCCCTGTTCTTCCTTTTCTAATGATTTTCCTTTTGCTCCTTTATTTATTTTTGATTAGTATTTTCTACATGTACATAAGAGTAAAATTGCCTTTGGTACATTTATATTTGCACATAATCTGATTTCTTAAATGCATTCCATATCTCCTCCCTTTTCCCACCCTTCCTTCCTCCCTCTCATTCTCTACCTTCTACTCCACTGATCTTCCCTATATATTTATGATGTCTGATTCCCCTCTGCCACCTTCTTTCCCTTATTTTGCTCTAACTTCCACATATGAGAGAAAACATTTGTTGGGTCAGAAATTCTTGAGAGCCAGATCGTAGTTTCAAATTTGGTAGGACTGTCATCACTACCCTCTGTCAAGAATCAGACCAATAAGTATAAATATAAATATATTATATATATATATATATATATTTCCCCCTAGTTTACCTTTTCATTGAGGGTCTAGTTATTTAGGAATGGGTCACAGCTTTATGCATGGAGTGCCTATCATGGTGTTATGAAAACTTTCTGTGTTCCATCACAGACAGATACTTAATTCACTATAAAAGTGTCTAAATCCTCTTAATTTCTGTACATATCTCAACATGAACAGGCAGCAGATAGTTTGTGGACTGATCTTACAAACTGTATGTTGAGTTTCACAGTCCTATCATTCTTCCCACTTAGGGCGGACCCTAAGCTTTATCTCATGTTCCCATACACCATATGGTCATCAAAGTGGAAATTCAAGGACTATTGAAGTGGACAGATGTCTCAGAGAGCTGGGTGGGTTGGATACTCACTGTTTATCTCTGGATTCCTGCTTTCACTTCTGTTCTGACCTCCAAGAACTTCTGTTTCTTACTAGTTCTGTTGAACTGGTGTGTTAAAAGAGGTTCTCCCTGCCCCATGGGCTAATACTCCCTTTCCTAAATGAAATGTATTCGTATAACCACCAAAATATATGTGCCAAAGTGTTTTTAACCACATAGTTTATGGATTAACAAAGGCCAAAATTTGAAAATGGTTCTACACTGAAAATAGTGTGAATTTTCATTAATAATTAGTTAATAGTGATTTGCCCGTATACCCATATACTGCATATATGCCCAAACTCTTGCTATAAGCAAAAACACAAATTATTCTCAAAACCATAATTTTGAGCCAGAGAAGCCACATATAAAGTCAAATATATTGCATAATTCCATTTATATAAAGCTTGAAAACAGACAAAAATAATCACCCTGAAGACACAGTAAGTCCTTTTTAAAAAATCATTCCTTGGGGAAGAGCAATTGCTTAAATTGGTCATGAGGACTTCTACCTAAGGTTCCCTGGATGCTGCTTGTATCAAGTGCTCCCTTATATTTTTCTCTAAATGTGTGATTTGTTTGCTTATTTTCATGCAAATGGTATACTTAATTTAAAAGTTTACTTAATAAAAAGTATTTCAAAAAATAGCTTGCTCAACAGCAACAATTTCTCGAGCTGCAAAAGCCTGAGGAGTAGTAAAAGCTAGATCTATAGCACTGGGAAAGAAATTCGATGACTAGATCCAGAAATAAAAGCCTGAGTGTGTGCAGTTTCTTCCATACACCTCTTTCCCTTTCATTCCGGCACAGACAAGGTCCTCAGTTAGGGCGCAGCTTATGTTAGTAGCCTGGCTGGGCCAGTTTCCAGCTGCACTGATCTTTGTGTTAAGTCTTGACTGTACACTCTCCTTTTCATTGTGGATACCTTCTTATAGATCCTGGCTTTAGCCTCTTCCACAATTAAGCCTCTATTGCCTTTTTCTCCCCCTCTGTCACTTTTATTTCCCTTTAGAGTACATATTACATAATATCAGTTATTCCATAACTGATCATAGTAATTGATGTTAATATCTTTCTCTCTCACTGAAAGGTAAGTTTCATGGAGCAGGAACTGTTTTTCCACTGTGTCTAACACAGTATGTTGCATGTAATAGTTGGTCAGTTAATATTTGTCAGAGTAAACAAATGTGTGAATGCCCTTTGATACTATCTAGAAACTTCTGTAGACAATTACATTAAAATGTTATGTTAGATATTTATTTAAATCTGGAGAAGACTTAAAATTTTTTTGTCAAACTTTTTTTGGCATTCTGATATTCTATCCTTTGATTCATTGCCCATTCAAATCTCCTCATCACCTTATGTACTCTTGTCTCAGCTGCTTCTCTGGGCTCATTCCATGCCACCCTTCCTTTTCTTGCTGAGCACAGAACATCCTAGGCATGGTGCTGCTTTAGGGTTTTCAATATTCTTTCTTCTCCTTGGCTGGCTTGCTGTCCCCCACACATCTACAGGGTGGGCTCTTCTAGATTACTGCAGTTTTGGCTCCCGTCTCACTCTTCTAGAAAGGCTTTTCTCAACTCCTCAATCTAAGGTAACTTCCCTGCCCTAGGCTCTACCGCCATCATCCTGTTTTATTTCTTCATGGCATTTACCAGTGGCAGAAATTCTCTTGTCTGCTCCATGAGTTTCCTGTCTCCAACACTAGCTTGTAAACTCCACAGTGACAGGCTCAATATTAAATGTATTCACTGCTAAGCCCATTGCATCTAGCATTTTGACACACAGGAGGTTTTTGATAAATATTGGTTGATTGAATGAACGCATTAGCAACTAAGCATTTATCCATCTTTTCAGTATAGAACTGTGCGGTTTGAGAGAATTTTTTGCAGATGGACACAGTCTGAGTTTGCGTTGTGTGAAACAGTACCTACTACCACATGTAGCTTTTGAGGTAAATAGTGTATAATTGAAATGTTGCTAATGTGACTGAGGAACTTAATTTTTAATATAATTTAAGTATCTCCCTGTGGCTAGGGCCTACTCTGTTGGTTGGTGCAGCTCTAGAAAACCTAATTTAGGATAGGGGATCAGGAAATTCTTTCAGAAGCCTGAGACTGTAGTGAGAAATGAGGGTCAGGACACTGAGATCTGGAAGCAACATTCTGCTTTACCACAAGACAAACAAGTACTGGTGGTATTTTTCTGCTAGCTAGGGTTGTAGACAGTGTGTGTGTGTGGTGGGGGGGGGGGCGGCAGAGCCTTTGGAACCAGCCAAGCTGCCTTGCATTCAGGTTTCCTCACAGATTTTGGGCAAGTTATTAACCTTTCCATTCCCTCCTTTGTGAAATGGGGATAATTTTTTTTTTTTTTTGCCTCTTTAGGTGGTGTTAGGATTAAATGAGGCTAAGGACCTACAGCCTATCTATAGCCTGTGCCCAGCATAGAGCTACAGCGTAATGACTTGTTAATATATCAGACAGATGATAGATATAGATAGATAGATAGATAGATAGCCTTGAACCTGTGGGGATTTAAAAAATATATATAGTTGTAGATAGACAGCATGCCTTTGTTTAGTTTTTTACCTGGTGCTAAGGATCGAACCCAGTGCCTCACACATGCTAGGCAAGCGCTCTGCCACTGAGCTACAGCTATAGCTCCCTTTGGGGATTTTGAAGTAAGGGAGAACAGTAGACCACTGTAAGTGGCCCCTTTCTACCTGTCTAAACTCGGCTTGGCTGAGAGGAAGAAAAACAATCTCTTCCTTTTGCAACAGAGTGATTACAGAGATCTCCCTTTGAACCCTGCTTTTCACCCATCCACCCCGCCCCAGCTACAGGCAAAGACAATTTCATACTCTCATTTTTCTGTATACGCGGGCTTATCTGGGCTTGGTGGCAAGCCCAGGGTGGGTGGGGAGAGGCATTAAAATCTGGCAACCCGGTTTCCCCATCTCCGGATGCCGCAGGGCTCCTGCCAGCCGTCCTCAGTTAAAAACGTGCTTATGGATGATTTCACTGCCCCGCAGTCTCATGTGCGGCAGCTCATTACTACCCGCTTCATCACTGCCCTCAGCAGCTCCTCTGAACGCCTTCCCCTCCCCCCATTTCAGGGACACTGGCCATAACTGACATTTAAAGGAAATAAATACGGACTTAAAAAATTATTACACCCATCTCCGCCTGAAGAAACCAGTAGCAATGAATAACAGTCCAGCGAAGAGCGCCTGTCGGGTCTCAGCTCCGCCAGCCCTTAGTGCCTCACAATTCCCTACACCCGAGCAGCACAAATCACCATTTTCAGGCACCACTCGAGGCTGCCAATTCCGTTTTCGCTTAATCTCATTTTAAATCCGGCTACAGATGAGGCTCTGTCGCTGCAGCGATGAGCTAGGCGGGGGACAGCGGGAGGGACTCGAGGTCTGGCTGGGAAGGGAGCAAGGGGGGCCTTCGCGCTTCGGGACCGCGGGCGGATCCCCAGACCTAAGCCAGGCTGTGCTGGCTGCTAAGCGGCGTGCCCCGAGGGGCGCGGGGCGCAGCCAGCACAGACAAAGAACCCGCGCCAGCGCCGTCCCTTCCTCCCTTTTTCTTCCCTTGCGCCCCTCTTCTCCTGCGCGTCTTCCCAGTTAAAAAGAAAAAAGAAGAAGAAAAAAAGGGAAATCTAAGGTCCAAAGAGGCTGGCCGCCTCCTTTTGCTCTTTAAGGACAGCTGGGCTGGAGGTTTCCTTTCCCCGGGGCTTTTACATCACTCACTGCAGATTCGCGGGCTCAGGGGCCCCGACAGCGCCCCCGCTCCAAGCAAGGGCTAGCACCCCTCCCTGCCCTTCCGGATGCTAACCGGGCGCGGGCCGGGGCTCCGGGGAAGCGTGCGTCTGTCTTGTGCCTCACTAGGTGACGCCTAGAGAGCCCGAGGGGGCGGGGGGCAGGCGGG